TATTTTCTATATATTTTTACACACACACACACACACACACATATATATATATATATATATATATATATATATATATATGTGCAGATATGTTGAAAAATAGGAAAGAACACATTAGGTAAATAATCCAGAGTTCTTTAGTATTTTTGTTTTCATTTAAAAAAAAACTGCTCCATACAGAAGTAGAGATTATTTTTTTAAAAACAATTAGAATTTTACTGCCACACCATCTATGTATTATTCTTAAAGCAGGGAATACTTTGTATCTGTCCATATTTCTGAGATGAGGTATTATGTACACTATTTACATTGTTTGGACTATTTTGTTAATTAAAAAGTTGGATACAAAAGTATTGTCTCGATTAAAAATAGAAACTTCACGTATCTTTTGTCTGATGCCCCCAAGATGTTAAGATGGTGTTTTGTCTAAGCTCTGTGCAGCACAGAGAAGAACTCCATTGAAGAATTGGACCCTCAAGTGACAGAATAAATGCTCCCCAATGACAGACTCATTCACCTGTTAGTACCCGGATGCTAATGGAGCATGTCTATGTATAGAGCCAGGCTCATGCTTGTTATGTGTGCAAGAGACGTAAAGCTGGCCTTAAGAATCACTTATGGGCCCATAGCAAGGCAATAGGTCAAGTAAAAATGATGGAATTAATAAAATTCTGAATGAAAAACACACACAAAAAAAGAAGAAAAACCTACCAAGTGAAGAGACGGTCTTCTGCAAAGTGACAATCATCATATATAACTTTAAGATTGAGTCACTATGCAATATATATTTTTTGTCGTGGCCGGGTGTGGCAAACTTCTCCTCTAGCTATGCCACTGCTGAACAATTGTCCAGAATAAGAATTTTGCAGATCTCTTGTAGGCCTAAACATGTGCAGCGTGTTCATAATATTGACCAGATTAAAAGAGATCCCAGATCCACATGTAGCAAAATGTTTTTTGCCATGCAAAGTATAATCAGCATGCTGAGTTTGAATTCCAGTCAAGTTTATTGCATTCACGTTTGCACAAATACTCTTGGGGAAGGCATGAATTCTTCCCTCCCTCAACTTTGGATTAAATAATAGGACTTGTAACTGGAAAAATCATTGTTATTCTCAAAAAAATTATTTATCCAGTATTCACTGACAAAAAAAAATGAATTATTCTTACAATCAAAAATATGTCGTAACTTCAAATAGCCCAAAAAAAGGTTGATAAGCTGTTAAAAAAACAAATCAGTCAATTTTGAAAAATGTGAATCCATCTTTTCTCCTCCAGCTATTGGTTAAATACCAAGGTACATTGGGATTTTTAGTCTTCGTTGACAAGCAGTCCAGGAGACAAACAACTCTGAATTCAAAGCCGGTTGGGCATGCATTTGGCAACTTCACCTTGTAAAAACATACTTGCCACAGAAATGACAGCAGCAATATCTAGTGTAGCGAGGATGTGGCCTGATACTCCACAGATGCCAATCTATCAGGTACTGAATGATAACCCTATCCCATAGATAAAAAGTTGCTAGCCACTCACTACTCTGTCACTATATTGATATGGCAAAAGTGTTACATTTCTTAGTTTTACTAGTTCAGACCTTCACAGCTAGAACCCGCCATGTCATGTTCACAGCATAAAATCATCCCCATTCCCTTCATATTCCTTTGTTCAAGAGTAAGTTCTCCTCAGACAGCTTCTTCCCCAGAACTGTTACTTTGTGGAACAGACTCCCAAGAGGGTGCTTTTCCGCCCACAACAATCTTAACCTCTTCAAGTCTTGGGTCAACTGATATCTATCCCACATATCCTCATAATATGCATTTCTTACTTTCTCCTTCCTTCTCTTTTCTGTCTTGGGCATGACGATAAACTACATCCATGTCCTGGGTAAGATGATAAACTTCATCCGACAGCAAGGCCTCTGTTCAGCAGGTTTTGAGGAGCATAGTACCACGTCTTAAATGCTGGTGCTCCCAAGTCCACCCTGATTCAGAGCTATGGGCAAATAGTTAACCCCTTCAACCAACTGGGGTTAAAAAAAACTATCAAAGTGTAAAAATAGGTTTTAATACCAGCAATACTTTTTTGTAAAATATTATTACTAACAATGAATCTTTGAAGGAAAAAATTATTACCAGCAATATATAATTACCAGCAATGCATTTTTGGAAAAAAAAAATATTACCAGCAATATATTTTTGCAAAAATTATTACCAGCACTAAAAATCTTGTTGGCATTAAATAACCCCTTGCAGTTGATATGCCATAAAGCAAAACAAACCAAACTGATATGTTCAATTCATGCACTGTATAAATTATTAGAATAGTGTTAAAAGTTGAACGCCCCTAAATCAATAGTCAAAATGCTGTGAAGTTGTAAAAATAGGTTTTAATACCAGCAAAAAAAATTTTTTTAAATTTATCAGCAATACATTTTTTGAAGAAAAAAATTATTACCAGCAATGCATTTTTGAAGAAAAAATTATTGAGTAAAACAAAACAGACTAAACCAAAAAAGAACAATCTTTTGTTGGCATTAAATGAACCTTTGAGGTTGATATGCCATAAAACAAAGCAAACTAAACCAAACCAAAATAAAAATCTTTTGTTGGCATTAAATGACACTTTGAGGCTGATATGCCATAAAACAAAACAAAGCAAATCCTTCTCTCTTACAGCAATCTCACTCAGTATCCATCTACTTTGAGTGGCACTTAGGCCTTGTATTAGGTGAAGTAAAGTAAAAAATAAATTATATCTACCTATATCTGTCAGCCTAGGAAGGAGAATCATGCCAAGGGCATTAGATTGAAGAATAACATAAATGACCTTGGCTATAATTCAAACTCAGTTTAATGATTTCATTTTTTCTGTTGCTAACCACTGTGGAAACCTAAAATTCCTACAGCAATGTTTAACTTTTGCAGCTGCAATAAAATGGTGCCAAAAGGATATTTATTTTTTTGACACCATTATTATTGTATACACTTTTGACTCACTTGACAATGTTCATTTACAAGATTATTAAAATATGTGAACCAAGTACAATGCGATATTTATTATTTACCTTTTAAAAATCTTTTTATTCTAAAATTTATAAATTTTACAAAATTATCAAAATATGTAAGCCAATGCAATATTTATTATTTAGCATTTTATAAATAACTATGAAAACAAGTTTTTTTATTTAATCTAATAAATAACTAATGTTTAATATCTTTGTCATCAATTCTAAAGAAAATGTATAAATCCATTTTCATATGTTTAGGTTCTATTTTCATTACTTTTTACTGTTTTAAATAAACATTACTGAAGGAATCAAAAGTGTCAAGGTAATAACCATTGTTTTGACACACCATTTTGGGAGGGGGGCACAAATGTTAAATATTGTCTTTCTTATTTTAGCATAAAATGCACTCAGTGATCTTGAACAGATTTTAGGCAATTTAAACAGTTGTATCTGCTTTCTTTTTTTTGATTTTGTGTCTAAAAATGAAGGTGCTATCTGTCTGTGGCAGATTGTACAATTCCTGCGACTTAAGAATTTCAGTCATTATGCATTTTTTATGGCTCAACACATCCCCATGGGTGGCCCAGTGAAGTCACCATCTCTAGAAAGATTACCAAATAAGGCTGAATTAGCTTATTAGCACACCAAATGATTTTTCATTCAGTTGTTTTTCTAGAGAATGGTTGTCAACCAAAGCTAGACAGCCCAGTTTGCCCATGGTGGTGACAGGATGGATAGATTCGTTTCGTACCTTTTTCAAGGGTATTTGTGCAAAAGTGAACACAATCAATGAATTTGGCCGAAATTCAAACTCATCTTGCTGATTTCTTTTTCCAAGTAGTTACCCTACCAGAAGATCAATCATTTTGTGTGTGACTTTGCTAAGTATTATGAAAACAAGAAAAAAAATATCAGAGAATAAACAATTTATTTTATTAAATGCCAAGTCACGAATGAATGACTTAAATGTTTTTTTAAAGTTTATAGGAAGAACCAAAAAAAAAAAAAAAAAAAAAACTGTCAAGACTCAAGAAGTGTCATCATAACAATCTGTATAATTTGAAAAAAGTATTCCCAAACTGTACTTTCTGTTTTGATTTCATTTCTTTTATCTCAAGTGCTCATCTTGGTCCTTCAACTTTTAATATTAAAAAAAAAGTCGGTTTCCAGGTAATAAAAATAAAAATCAACTAAAAATTACATGCATTGTTTCCTTTTGTTTACTATCAATTTTACCGGAAGTGAATGTATGAAATTGTACGCTCTCGACCAAGAAGATCAGAAAAATAGTATTTTCAGAGTCGATCATTTCCGGTTTTATTTACATGCATTCTAAGTTGTCGGAGGAGGAGAAGAGGGAAAAAAAATCGGCTTTTCCTCTGACCCCGGGGGAACAAATTCCCACGGTTTCGACTGCTGCCTTTGAAGTCTTCAGTGCCTAAAAGAAAAATCCCCATTTATCCCTATAGCCGAACCTGAAGATGGCATGACTTGCTGCCAAACTGAAATAACAATGTCGACCTTTTGACAGTTTTCTGTTCTCTTCTTGTCTACGACTGACGGTTTTTTTTAAATCGAACTAGAAGAGATGTAAAAAAAAAAAAAGGGTTGTAGATCAGAATACCCAACATACCCTGTTAATAATAACAATAATTACAATAATTATTCAATAATATATATAAATACAAACGTCATTACCATCAAAGCCTTTGAAGATAGATGTGTAACGAGGGTGTCTATGTGACACTAAGCTCATTTTTTTTTAATTTAAATCTCGTTTATATAAATATGTCAGTATATTGCGTTTCTTAATTAAAATATAGTCCTGTCGTTTAATGTTTCCTATATTGCTTTCAGTACTGATCTTTTTTTACCCTGAGATAACCCCATAGGAATTAGGGGCTCTCCCGAAAGACCTTGTACACCAAATCTGACCCTAAGAAGCAAAATTGCACCAAAACGGACAATCGGTCCGAGTTTATAACTAAAAATAAATATGAATGACACAGAAGAAGAGACGTAAGTTATCTATTTTTTAAAAATATTTTAATTAATAGAATTGATGTCTTTGTTATGTTTGTGTTTGAAATGTTTTAACGAAATTGTACGGTAACTAGTTTTTTTTTTCTAAAAAAAAACTTTGGCTGTTTTTTCCCCTCTCTTTTTAAGCTATTCTTCATCGAAAATGGGAATTGTATTATTTCCCAATTGTAATCGTATTTTAAACAATAATAATATATTTGCGATAATTTTCTGTGATTTTTGTTGTCCTGTTTACTTTTACAATAAATGTTGTGTGTGAGATTTTCTTTCTAATGGATACATATTTTTTTTAACCAAAGACCCATTCATTAAAAAAAAGTAACATAAAAGTAAAACGCATACACCAAATTGAAAGATGTCTTTTAGTCTTTTACTATTTTTTGAAAAATGATGAAATTTCTCCTGAAATTAAAAATATAAATCACTTTTCAATTTTCATAGATACATTTTTTTTTCTTTCTTTTTTGTTTAAAAAAAGTTAGAAATTGAAACATGTTTCGTCGTTGATTATGGCTCCTAAAACATTCCTTTCAGATACTAGAAAAAAAAAACTAGATCTTTGAGCTGGAGAAAAATTGTCTGCATTTTTTTTTTTTTTTTTTTTAAGATATGTTTAAGTTTACTTATCATTTCCCCCACCCCCAAAACCAAAAGAAATTTGCTACGTTGCAAAACGTGATTTTACATTTTTTTTTTTTTTTTTTTAACCATGAGTGTTTAGTACTGTTTAATAAACAGTAAATCAAATGATAAAATTTAAAAATAAAACTTAAAAATGAATATTACGAGTGGGTGATGCTAACAAATTCTTGATTTAATTAAGAAGTCCTTCAAAAAAATAAATAAATTAAAATATAGATTCCTATATCTGATAAGATTTTATTTTTGGAAGTGGGTCGGGCCGAGAACTTTTTTTTACTACCTGAAAACTAGTAATATAATTTTTATTAATTTATGTTTTAAATAGGAAATTGAAAAATGATTTTTAATCTTGAAACTTCATTTTTGGCGTAAAAAGCAGTAACGGCGTTAGTAATTATTACTCAAAATAAAAAAGCAATAAGCTTCCTAGTAATTGTGTTTGAATTTAAAACTACAATTTATTTAATCACATTTTTTAATGTATATTTCAACAAAAGTTTTGTATATAAAGGGCGTGTATAAGTTGATTTTGCGACGTGTCTTTATATAATGAACAGTGCTATTTGAGCATGAGTAATGAAATTTGATACATTTTTATTTTTAGGGAATGTCATTTCCCTTAGAATAAGGGAGTCACTGGGTGTAGAATTGTGTAGACGAGCTGGCATTTTTTAGCTGACTATGGCCTGTTGCAAAGTCTCGTATTTGTCTAATTTTTTTTTTCTTTTCTTTTTTTTTTTTTTTTTTTTTAAATAGGTAGCTCCAAAACTTTTATAAAAAAAAAAAGAGCATAAAAAAGTCCCCAGTTTTATCGTCAAAATATTTATTATTAAGAAGATCAAAGTATTTTTTGATTATTTTGTTAAATGTTTTAAGCCTTTTTTTAATTTTATTTTTTGTAGCATGTTCGAAATTTTGGTTAAAAATCATGTTTTTCTTGTTTCAGCGGGTAGGCCAAATTATTATAGGAGATTTTGGCAATAAAGGTTTTCTCTATCAAGTTTTCGGCATTTCTTCATCGTGTATGCTCATTTTTTTAGTGAATCTTTATATATATATATATATATATATATATATATATATATATATATACACACACACACATTGGTCTTGATAATGATTGAAATCGTTAAATGTACTATATAGTTTATGCAAAACTAGGTAATCCGTATGGGTAGACCCAAGGAGGATGATATCCAGAGAGCTCAATGTAAATTCAGAGCAAATAAATCTGAATAAAAACAGACCACTTTAAAATTTCCATGTAATAAATTATTTCACCACAGCCCTTTTAAGGGCTCTGGATCATCAGACTTTACTTCCAAAGGTTGAAATGAAAAAGTCTGATGATCCAGAGCCCTTTAAAAGGGCTGTGGTGAAATAATTTATTACATGGAACCTTAAAGTGGTCTGTTTTTATTCATATATATATATATATATATATATATATATATATAATATATTTATGAATAAAAATGACAATAGGAAAACTGGTAATTGCTGACACGTTTCGTCCAATGTGGACTTTATCAAAGCAAAATACGAAAATGAAATTAAATGAACAAAGTAACTAATAAAAACAAAAACAGAATGTACCTAGCAACTGGAATGTAGAGAAACGCTATTTTCATATTTCTTAATGCTCTTAGATAGAAACCTATAATAATTCCAGATTTAATTTTTGAAGGGTGGTTTGAGTAGAAGCTGATGAGATCATTTTTGTTTGTAGCCTTTCTGTAAACTTCAAAATTGAGTTCGTTGTTATTTCTAATTAACAAAATGTCCAGGAACGGAAGAGTGTAGTTGGTTTCAGTTTCGAGAGTGAAGTTTATTGTAGGTTCATTGTTATTAAGTTTGGAGAGAAGATCCGTTAAATTGGTGTTTTTTGGAATTATTAATAACGAGTCGTCTATGTATCTGAAATATGAAGAGTTTGTAGGGAGAATATTTTTGAATGAGTCACTTTCTAGAAATTCTAAAAATAGACATGCAAGAACGCCGCTGAGAGGAGATCCCATTGGCAAACCAAATTTCTGTCTGTAATGTTGGTTATTAAAAGTAAAGAAGCATAGCTTGGTAATTAGTTGGCACATTTTTATAATTTTGTGTGTAGATATAGGTAATTTGATTTTTGCATTTGTTAGGTGTTTTTTTAGTAAATTTAAGCATTTATCTATGGGGACGTTTGTATAAAGAGATTGTATATCTAAACTAGTCATATAATTGTTTTCAATGTCTATATTTTATAGCTTGTTTAAGAGGTCGCCTGAATTTTTTATGTGTGATGGACTAATAGTGCCAAGAAGTGGAGTTAAAATTCTGCTTAGTTTGCGGGCTATTTTATGTGGAGCGCTGCCTATCCCTGATATGATAGGTCTCATTGGTATGTTCGGTTTATGCGTTTTTGGTAATCCATATAATATGGGTGTTTTTGGATGGTATTCAATAAGCTTTAACCAGGAGAAGTTTTCATTTTTTAGTAGTTTTTTAATGTTGCTTGTAAACTTTTGTGTTTCTTTTATAGCTATGTTTTCATTTACTTTTGCATAGATGTTATCATCATTAATGAGCTCCCTCATCTTCTGTTGGTAAATGTGTTTCTCTACATTCCAGTTGCTAGGTACATTCTGTTTTTGTTTTTATTAGTTACCTTGTTCATTTAATTTAATTTTCGTATTTTGCTTTGATAAAGTCCACATTGGACGAAACGCGTCAGCAATTACCAGTTTTCCTATTGTTATTTTTATTCATAAATGTGGTCTTCTCTACCGATTAAATCGGAGAAAATATATATATATATATATATATATATATATATATATATATATAATAATAATAATCTCCACTTTGTGTCCTGTTTAGATTTTTATTACTTTGAGGTGTAAAGATGATACAGGAATTTTTTTTAATATACATAAATTCATTTAATGTAGCAAAAAAATAAAAATAATATCCACTTTTGAAGCAATGTGGTTGCTGCTCCAGAAACATTATTTTTACATGCCATAAAGTATGGCAAACAGAATTAACAAGCCGAGTTCAAATTTTAGCTGTCACAGTTGGCATTCACTTTACATGAATGCCCTTGAGAAAAGCATAACCCCATTTCTTCTCCCCCCCCGCCCCAAACCAAGTATTGGTTAAATAGCAGGGAAGACAGAGCTCTCTTGCCTTGTTTTGCAACCAATGTTCCAAAATGTGGAGAAGACAATGGGAAATCACTCTTGTTTTTTCAAGAACAATTATGGCTGTGTACAAATTAGTTCCTATAAAAGAAAATGAAAGCCATGGAAATCTATGATTGTCCTTGTCCTGAAAAGACATGATACTTTGAGAGAGATTTTATTGTTATGAATAAAAAAAGTGAAATGAGCATGTTTAGAATATTTTTTCGTATTTTCCATGACATTATATAATCCTGCAGATTTTGGTTAGTGGGGGTGGTAATTAATCTTTCTTATCCCCCCCTCGTCCCTTTTATTTATTTATAAGGTGTTCTTCGTTTGACCTGCTTCCCAGAATTAGTATTATGTTTGGTCATTGAATTATTGGTTCTCGAAAGTGTGTCAGGCCATGAACTTTTCAGCACTCCCTCACACTTAGGCAATACACTTGCAGGTTTTAGATTGTCTTCCCAAAATTAAGGTGTGGTCTATTGTATTGCTTGAAAAATTGTTCAAATGCTTCATCTTGAAGTCACTTTGCTATAAGGATATTGGATAAATTTTGAAGGTCTTAAATATTGCTGGAATTATTTGTTCAGAGAAAATAATTTGAAATAGAGATGAACAAAGACTCCCTTGGGTCTTCATATCAGAACAGACTGGGTTCTATAGCCTTGGATGGCAACTGGTCTAGGAGAAGGACAAATCTAAATTAAAAACCTACAGATGGTTGTTTGGGGACCAGTTCTCTGTATTCAGTGCTTCCAAAAATTAAGGTTGTTTCTGCACAAGGAGTGGGAGTAACCTCCTTCTCCCTCCCATATTCCCTGTTTAACTGCTCTTGGGATGCCCTGTCTGGCCTATATTTTTCAATAATAAATCACCTCACCATCTTTACCAAGATCTTACAGCAATTCGCATGTAATGAAGAAAAGGAATCCAAGGGAGCGGGCTATCATAGCCCTTCGCCATTCTGAATGGACACAACATTATAAATGTACACACATACAAGGTCTAGTCCCAAGGTAATGTTTTCTGTTTATTTCCAAAGAAAGTACAACAGGTCTAGGGAGCACACTAGCATTGCGTTGGATTGAGCAAGTTTTCAGTTGCAAAACATTGTTTTTCCACATAGGCAACACCAGTGATTAAAAAGTATTCTTCACTTTG